ATCTTTCTTCATAAGGAAGATTTCTAATGCTATGTATTAATTTAGTCATCCTACGCTGAATGTTTTCTAACAAATTTATGTCCATTCTGTAATATGGAGACCAGAACTGAGCTGCATAATCTAGGTGAGGCCTTACTAATGATGTATAAAGCTGCAGTATGACCTCTGGACTTCTGTTGCTTACACTTCTTGATATAAATCCCAGTAATCTATTTGCCTTATTACGTACGCTTAGGCATTGCTGTCTTGGTTTAAGGTTGCTGCTCACCATAACCCCCAAGTCCTTTTCGCAATCTGTATGGCTAAGTTCTACATCATTTAACTTGTAAGTACTAGGGTTATGGGCACTCCCAAGCTTCAGAACCTTGCATTTATCTACATTGAACTGCATCTGCCACTTTTCTGACCAAGAATAGAGTTTGTTTAAATCCTCCTGAAGTTCCATAACATCTACGTTTGAATCAATTATCCTACCTATCTTTGTGTCATCAGCGAATTTGCTCATATCACTAGTAATTCCCTCATCAAGATCATTGATATATATTATAAACAACAACGGGCCCAAGACTGATCCCTGTGGAACGCCACTTGTTACAGATCCCCACTCGGATTTAACCCCATTTATGGACACTCTCTGCTTCCTGTCAGTGAGCCATGACTCGATCCACGAGAGCACTTTTCCCCCAATGCCATGAGCTGCCACTTTCTTTAACAGTCTATGGTGCAGAACTCTATCAAAAGCCTTACTAAAATCTAAGTAAATAATATCAAATTCTTTATCGTGGTCAACAGCCTCAAAAGCTTTACTGAAGAAACTTAATAAATTAGTTAGACAAGACCGGCCTCTTGTGAATCCATGCTGAGTATCATTAATCAAGCTATGCTTATCGAGATGGCTTCTTATAATCTCAGCTATAATTGACTAGTAATTTGCCTACAATTGAGGTCAGGCTTATTGGGCGGTAATTTGACGGTAACGACTTGTCCCCTGTTTTAAAAATAGGAATTACATTAGCCATCTTCCACATATCAGACACTACACCTGTTTGAAGAGATAAATTAAAAATATTAGTTAATGGTTCACAGAGTTCCATTTTGCATTCCTTAAGAACCCTTGAAAAAACCTCATCAGGACCCGGCGACTTATTTTGCTTCAGTCTGTCTATCTGCTTCACAACCATTTCACTAGTGACTGTGATGTTATATAATTTATCTTCTTCTAGCCCACTATAAAAATTAATTACTGGAATATTGTTAGTGTCTTCCTGTGTAAAAACTGAGAGAAAATAATTATTAAAAATTGAGCACATTTCATTCTCTTTGTCAGTAAGGTGCCCATAGTTATTTTTAAGGGGACCTATCTTATCTCTAACTTTTGTTCTATAGACCTGGAAACAACTTTTTGGGTTAGTTTTAGAATCCCTAGCAACTTTAATTTCATAGTCCCTTTTAGCTTTTCTTATCCCCTTTTTAATGTCCCTCTTAATGTCAATATACTGATTCATAAGATGACCCTCACCTCTTTTGATACACCTATAAATTCCTTTCTTATGCCCTAGTAGATATTTCAGCCTATTATTCATCCATTTTGGGTCATTTCTATTTGATCTAATTTCTTTATATGGGATAAATGTTCTTTGAGCAGCATGTATAGTGTTCAGAAAACTGTCATATTGATATCTCACTTCGTTACCCCAGTCAACAGATGATAAGTGTTCTCTAAGCCCATCGTAATCTGCTAAGCGAAAATCTGGGACTGTTACTGAGTTATCGCTACTATCGTACTTCCATTCAATGCTAAATGTAACTGATTTGTGGTCGCTAGCACCCAGTTCCTCTGAAATTTCTAAATTATTAACAAGGGATTCATTGTTTGCCATAACTAAGTCAAGCAGTTATTTCCCCTTGTAGGTTCTGTCACAAACTGCTTCAAAAAACAATCCTGAACTACTTCTAATAAGTCATATGATTCTAAATTCCCAGTCAAGAAATTCCAATCAATATGACTAAAGTTAAAGTCTCCTAGAATTACTACATTATCGTGCCTTGTGGCCTTAACAATTTCCTCCCATAGTAGTCTCCCTTGGTCCCTATCTAAGTTTGGGGGACGGTATATCACTCCTAAAATCAGTTTTTCATGCCCCTCTGAAAATTCTATCCAGACTCTGTATGTGTTACTTCAGACTTAATACCCGTTTTTATGCAACAGTTCAAGCGATCTCGGACATACAATGCCACCCCACCCCCCTTCCCGATACTTCTATCTACTTGGAACAATTTAAAACCCTGAATATGACATTCCGCAGGCATGTCCCGACTTTTTGAATTAAACCACATCTCAGTTAAGGCAAATACATCAATGTTACCTGCACTAGCAACTAATCTCAACTCGTCCATCTTATTCCTAGCATTACGGCAATTAGCATAATAAACATTGAAAGACTCTCCTTTCTCTTTACCCTTCCTGCTCATTTCTGTTTTTCTACTAAACCTATTACTGTCCTTATCACCCAAAGTCCCTTGGAAGCATTTAAAAATGCTGGAGATTAAGACTGGTGGATATGTTTACCCACACAGTTTTTAGCAAACACACAAGCAGTGTGACAATACTGGTGGTACAGAAACTATAACATGACTGATAAAACCAGTACTTCTGACATTGTACACTGAGGAAATTGTACAATGTTAGACAAGTAAGAAATGTAGTTGCTCCGCATGCAATGCAGCATTTGGAGACTTGGCATTGCTACTGATGCTTCTTTAAGTCTCAGTTAATTTTATCTTAGCCATATTTCTTTAACCCTTTGAGGGTTTTGGTCGTACTAGTACGTCTTACGCGTAGGGGTTTTTGACGTACTAGTACTCATAAATTCTAGCGGCCTCAAATCTAGTGGGAGAAAGCTGGTGGGCCTTCATATGAAAGAATGGGTCTATGTGGTCAGTGTGCACAGTCTAAAAAAAATCCTGCAGCACACAGTGTATAATGAGAAAAAAAAAAACTTTGACCATTTTTTTTTAATAAATCAGCGACTTTGCAGTGTATTTTCGTATGGTATTTATTGTTGTATTCTAGTTTTCTTGGTCTCATTTTATAGAATGGAAGACATATTACAGAATTTGAGATGATTTTGACTGGTTTTACAATGAAAGGTGCCTTGAAATTGAGCTCAAAGTAGCAGAAATGTTCGATTTTTACCAAACTTCAAAAGTAAACAAATCGTGCCAAGCGTGCAATACACGTCAACTGGTGAGTCTAATATTCTTTCACAAGTGCACCAATAATATTTATACCATTTTTTACACTAATGCAGTAGTCTGCATAACAGTAAATCTTATATTTTTTGTGAGAATAAAAATTCAAAGTGGAAAGCAAAAGAATATAAGAGGGTACTTGAGACGTGACTAATGACTAGAGGAAATGTCATTTTAGTGCCAGGAATGTCTTTCTTGTTTATTCTGGACCCTATTCGAAAATTGGCATCTTTTGAAATTTGTGTGAAATTGGCAAAATTGCTAAATTCTGACCACTGTACTGGATAGTTGAATTTATAAATGGGTGGTTTCTTGCACCCATTCGATAGAAAAAATGGAGTTCTAGCGACATATTCATTTTTTTTGTCGACTAGTACAGTGAAATTGGCCGAAAATGGGGCTCAAAGTGGGCAAAATCGCCGATGTGTAAACATCGCCGAGACCGCTAACTTTGCGAGAGCATAATTCCGTAAGTTTTCTATCAAATTTCAAACTTTTGGTGTCGTTATGATCGGGAAAAGATTCTCTATCTTTTCATAAGAGAAAATAATTTTTTTTTTTTTTAAAATTTGGCCGACCCTGAGAACGAGTTTCGTAGAGGGCCTGTCGACCCTCAAAGGGTTAAATATTTCCCTAAACTGAACATATTTTGAATGAAATCCTATGGTCATTTTAAATTTAGGGATTGTACATCAAGCAAATGGGCAATGGGCACCAAGAAAAAACTGTACTGTATGGTATATATATGAAATTATCCACTAATGGTCTTTGGCAAAAAACATTAAAAAAAAAAACGTATAATCAAATCTTATGGATTATGAAGCAAGTGAATTCTGGGGTTTAATTATACATTACTTTGATTGGAATTTGTGTGCAAGCATCTATGTATGAAAAATTAAACCAATCAGGAAGCCAGGATTTGACAGATTGTACATTCCTGTGGAGACTAATGAAATAAGCTAACAAATGGATATGAAGCCAAAATGCAAATCAAGGCTCTAGTTTAGAAGTTCTGCTCAAGATTGACCTTAACCCTTAAACGGTCCAAACAGATCAACGTTCAAATTCGTAGTGCTACAAAAGTAGATCTACGTTTTTTTACATATTTTCAAATATAACAAAAAAAATGTAGATAAAAGTTTTTTTACACGTTTTCACATGTAAAACAAACAAAAAAAACTCTACATTTTTTTACATACTTTCAGATGCTGAAAAAACGTATATATACGTTTGGACCATTTAAGGGTTAATCAGCACTCACCAGAATGATATAAATTCCTCTCAAATGTGGTTAGATGATTTTGATTAGTGAGTGAATATTGTTTTGATATTTATATACTTGTGTGGTATTATACTGCTAATTAATAAAATTTCCCTTTTTTTTTTTAACACACTGGCTGTATCCCATCAAGGCAGGGTGACCTAAAATGAAAAATTAAAGTTTTTCTTCTTAAATTTAGTAATTTATACAGAAGGGAATACTATCCCCTTGCTCCCAACATTTTAGTTGCAAAATTTCCTTTTCTTTCTTTCTTCTTTCAACGTACCAGCCGTATCCCACCGAGGTGGGGTGGCCCAAAAGGAAAAACTTAAGTCTTTCCTTTCAAATTTAGTAATATATACAGGAGAAGGGGTTACTAGTCCCTTGCTCCCGGCATTTTAGTCGCCTCTTATGACACGCATGGCTTACGGAGGAAGAATTCTGTTTCCTTTTATCCCCATAAAAACTAACTTTGGAATGAACTTACCTAACATCTTCCCCTTCCTTCCGTGGACGAAGAATATTAAGAATGGTGTATGAGTGGTCGGTGAGTACAATATTACCACGGTCATAAAGTTCCAATATAACATGGTGTTGTGCCTCCCCAGATCCAAATGTCAAATCAACAATACGATCAACACCAAGCTGCTGCACAGCCTCAATACGTTTATTGCGTAGATGTTTTCTTAACTATATGAGATTAAAGAGAATTAGCATTTTAATAATTAGACTTGGTATGAATAAACTATGAGCATAATTATAGTTAAAAGTCTATTAATTACAGGATTTGCATTTTAGCATATTTTATTTCCATTGCAAAACTCAAGATGTAGCCATGATATAAGTAATAAAAATTCAGTACTAAATGTAGATGCAAGATTACTGAGGAAAAGGTCATTCTTTAGCTACAGTGTATCATTATTCACTTAGTGTCAGAAATTACGATACCCACAGTAAATTGACACAGAACAAACCTTCATAGAGAAGCCAGAGGGTGCTGGGCTCTTGGGCCATTCATATTCAGTGGTGTGTAAACGAGCTCCTGATTCAACTAACAACATACACTTCTGATCGGGCTTCTGGAGTTTTATCAAATATGTTTTGGAGTCTACATCATAAACCTGCACAACTCTCATTCCAATGACCCTGTGAACAAAAAAAAATTACTTAGGAGTTTCACAGAAACATGGGGAGGATATCTATAACCATATTTCCATATACTGTTGAATTTACAGACTAAGATTTATTTTTTTTATTATTTTATTATTAACACAGTGGCCGATTCCCACCAAGGCAGGGTGGCCCGAAAAAGAAAAACTTTCACCATCATTCACTCCATCACTGTCTTGCCAGAAGGGTGCTTTACACTACAGTTTTTTCATTATACATTTAAACTGCAACATTAACACCCCTCCTAAGATTTATTATCATGTGATATACCTCTGAGCAATTTCACGGGTGATTCCCCAGCTGCACTATTTTCTGGTAATGCTATTTCTTAGACAAAAATTCTCAAGTCATTCTAGTTCAATTTTCCAAGTGCTGTATAATGGGTGTCATTGAAGTCACAGATTTTTCAAATCGCCAACATCAGCAAGTTATCCAAATAGCAAATTTGGTGACTCGTAATGTCAGCATAGTTGCTGATCCCCTACATGTGTTGTATAGCTTATCTGAGTATCATAGTTAGTACCATCCATATGTTTTACATACACGACCCCTTTGCTAGGCCTAGTGACCGGCCCTAGCTCAGTTCCCCGTAATCCAAGCAGGCATCAGGGCAGGCAGTTTGGGCTCTCCCCTCTCACACACTGCAATATAGTGTTACCATCCAACAAGTGTGTTTAACTCCAATCATCATATCTCCATGAACCCTTTCCACAGTAATTTTTTTTTTTTAACATATCAGCCATTTCCCACCAAGGCAGGGTGACCCAAAAAGAAAGAAAAACCCTAAAAGAAAGAAAAAACTTTCATCATTCAACACTCTCATCATCACTCATGCATAATCACTGTGTTTGCAGAGGCACTCAGATATGACAGTTTAGACATCCCTCTAAACTGCCAATATCCCAAACTCCTTTTTAACCCTTAAACTGTCCAAACGTAGATCTACGTCCATGTGTGGGGGACTCCGAACATAGATCTACTTTTTTTTTACATGCTTTCAAATGGGGAAAATCAAGGAAGGAGCGCTACGCACATGAACGTAGATCTACGTTTGGACAGTTTAAGGGTTAAAGTGCAGGCATTGTACTTCCCACTTCCAGGACTCAAGTCCATCTAACGTTATTAAATTATTATTATTAAATCAGTATAATCAGAGAGGAAGTACTAAACCCACACAGGTAATACAGTAAATAAGGTATAGGAGGCAATCATGATCATCCATAGAAAAGGATGGATAGATCTATTTCCTTAGATCAAGAGCCTCTGACCAGCATCAAGGCACATCACTTGAAGGGGTGACTTGTTAAAATACAGTATATATGCAAATACAACCACACGTTATCTAGATGAAGCTATGTTACATTAGTGGTTTCTGATAGTGTCACTAAACTTACACTGTAGTATATGGAAGAACTTTTTCACCAGAAGGATTATCGGAGATTTCTCCTGATGACTTGAAAATGTCAGTGAGAGTACTTACATTCATAAGACCCTTATGGGTTTAGTGCTTCCCCACAAATATTAAAACAACAATACTCTATAACGTTATTTTTTTTCCTGCCACAATTATTCTCAAAGCATTAAGGTATTTAATATAGAAGGTGGTATACTCACCTTTCCTGTAGCTCAGCCACAATGGCCAGCAGGTCAACAGTAGTAAATGTCGTCTTCATGATAACAGTGTCTTGCAATTCACACTATACACTGCAAACCAAGACAGAAATAATTAAAGAATTTTAATTTACTTCAGTTCCCATGATTAAGCATTTCTCATACGAATGCTGACAAGATGATGCTCAAAGAAATAGTGAAATACAGCTTTACAAATTTTTAAACAGAATAATTAGTTTATTCTACTTAAGTATCAACAAAAATTCTTGGTCAATATTTTTACCTCTATATAAAGTAATGAAACCAAAAACAAGAATTACTTTACACGCTGAGGGTCTGGGTTCGATTCCCGGCAAGAGTGGAAACAATGGGCGCGCTTCCTTACACCAGTTGTCCATGCTCACCCATCAGTAAAATGGGTACCTGGGTGTTAGTTGGCTGGTGTGGGTCACATCATGGGAAAACACTGACCTAATTTGCCTGAAATTTTCTGATAACAAGTGGCTTTCTATATAGTAGTATGTCACTGATGTCAGCTTGGCCTGTATACTTTGTACATGTATGTGTAGAAATAAAGACATTAAAAAAAATTAACTTAAAATATTAAATACTTGCCCTTACAAAAAAAATCATATTTATCTAAACCAATAAAATGACACAGATGATACTGGACCAGCAGCCAGTTGCCTAAACATAACTTTTATTGGACCATGTTGCAAGAAGTGTCATTTACCTGGAGTTTACCTGGAGAGAGTTCTGGGGGTCAAAGAATTTTAACTAGCTTCTCAAAGGAGAAGAATCTCCATATTAGTCCCTTGCAAAGCACTAAATAAAATATAGCATGTTTTGCAATATTTAAGTACAAAATAACAACTTGCACAAGAAATAACAATGTTCAATGTTCTTGTATTTCAAAAAGACAAAATAATGAGCTTCTCAAAGGGGAAGAATCTCCATATTAGTCCCTTGCACAGCACTATATAAAATATAGCATGTTTTTCTATATTGCAAGAAGTGTCATAGCCAAAGAATTTTAACTAGCTTATTTTAATTTGCTTATTTTGTAGGTTCTCACCTAACCTATAAATACGTAAACTGGTTGCTACCCGACAGCTATATCAGTAACCTTTAACATAGCTGCAAGTCCAACAGACAATTCAAATAAGTACTAAAATGTTGATGAATTTCAAGTCAGATAGTGGAAAGTACATAATGGTAACACTGTGATTATAAAATATGGCATCATCCAGGCTGGCGTCAGCAGGGTCATTTGAGGTTGCATAACTGGCAGTGACATCAGAAGCATTATAAAAGGCAATTTCATTGGTGAGAATATCATAGGTGGAGATATGAGTGGCTGAAGAACGAGAAGCATTAGCATCAGCAGCAACTGAAATACTGGACTTTACCTGGAGAGAGTTTCGGGGGTCAACGCCCCCGCGGCCCGGTCTGTGACCAGGCCTCCTGGTGGATCAGCGCCTGATCAACCAGGCTGTTGCTGCTGGCTGCACGCAAACCAACGTACGAGCCACAGCCCGGCTGATCAGGAACTGTCAGGATCAGTGGAGGTGGAACAAGACAAAGTCTATTTGTGACAGGCCAAAGAAATCTACAGCCTCTGACCCCAAAGTAAAAATGACTCCAGTAGGCAAGTAAGAGGAAAGTTTAGGGGTATTTAGATTTTATTCAAGAATAATGTAGACACTAATTCCATGGTTCTAGCCCTTCGTGATCAAAGAAATTCCATCGAAAGAAAAAATATTTGCAGACATTAACCTGCATAAACACCAATTAACATCTGATAACTATCATGTTAGTTCATAAGATGAACCTTTTATTATTATCATTAATATTATCATCCAAAAGATTATCATCTAAAAGAGGTTTCTGTGAATGTTTATAAACTTCTGGTCACATGTTTACTGACATACATAAGAGGTAGTACATATATAAGGTATCTGAAGTACTTGAACAAGTAAATATTTAATTCCAGTCCTTATGAAATTTACCTATAATTTATAAAAAAAAAGGTCTATTAGATTGGTTTTATCATGGACATTTTTTATGTTGTGTTAATGTAAGAAACGCAACCTAGCCTAGCTCAACCTAAATAACTTAAGGTAACTTACTCCGCCAACGGTAGATATGGGACTGGCGCACCTTTGTTTACATTCGATTCGTCTTTGTTTAAGTTCACTCGATGACTGGCCCTGACGTGCTGCTCGTTCTTAAATAAATGTAATTTTTCCTGATATATCTCAAAATAACAATTTGCACAAGAAATAACAATATGCAAGGTTTTCGTATTTCAAAAAAACAAAATGAGCTTCTCAAAGGGGTAAAATCTCCATATTAGTCCCTTGCACAGCACTATATAAAATATAGCAACAATGGTGTAGTTAAAAGGCCAAGTGATGACACTGGTACTATCTACACTGAGTTTATTTAATCGGATAATAATAATATACAAGTGTGTGTACTCACTACTCAGCTGGACAAGACGTGGACTCTTTATTTACATCTTGAATAAAATAACTTCATATTTACCTTATTTGTAACTATATTAAAATTTTGTAGTTAAACTTAACATGTCAATATTTAATTTTACAAAATAATTTATATGGTTAGTTAATTTTCCCTTGACATAGTATTTATATTAATGTTTGATATTACTATGTGATGCTGATGTAAAGACTTTCACAGAACTTGCAACTTAATGGTTTGAAATATATTGATAACTCTTGAAGATAAAATATTTTAGACAAGTATAATATAGTGTACTGGATGTGAGGTCACATAGATGTTATAGCTCTACAACAGCGTTATATAGTGTAAATTTAACGAAGGATAACCCGGTGGTCTGGTGGCTAAAGCTCCTGCTTCACACACGGAGGGCCCGGGTTCGATTCCCGGCGGGTGAAAATTCCGACACGTTTCCTTACACCTATTGTCCTGTTCACCTAGCAGCAAATAGGTACCTGGGTGTTAGTCGACTGGTGTGGGTCGCATCCTGGGGGACAAGATTAAGGACCCCAATGGAAATAAGTTAAACAGTCCTCGATGACGCACTGACTTTCTTGGGTTATCCTGGGTGGCTAACCCTCCGGGGTTAAAAATCCGAACGAAATCTTATCTTATCTTATCACTGGGGTCTTTGTCAATTTTAATATTTCTAGGTACATGTATGTTGTCTTTTATTGAAACTAAAAGATATGATAAGTTAGATTAATATCATTATTACACTGAAGAGGAAGAGTTAAGGTAAGGTAAACTTTATTTAAGTCCATAATCTATGTTTTTTACACATTATTATTCATTTATACAATGGTTGAAAATAAACACAATTGTTACAGGCATACACTTGTGATGAATTATTTAGATTTAAACTAGGATAGCTAAGAAAGCCTCAGTGACTATTTAGGCTTTAGATGCATAACATAAACAAAATTACAATGTTCTTGAGGGAACGTGTCTTATTCATTTTCTCTTCAATATTATACTATTAGTGACTTGATACTTGTCTGACATAGCAATATCACGGAATCTTGGTACAGAAAATCTCTTAAACTCATCTCAGGCCCATGTTATGGGCCTGACCTACTTCCACAAGTGGCCTCTGCCTACAAATGACACCGTCATCAACCGGTGCATTTCTCTACATATTCTACAACTACATTGCTAAATCTATTTTCCACCTTATGGATCTGACCTATTTCCAATAGTGTGCCCCTCCTACATGCGATGATGTCTTCAGTTGCTGCATCTCTCCACTTCTTCGAACCAGCTGCAATATAAAAGTCGTCACCCTCGTATTAGACTGAAGGTTGTGCACCTAAAACGTCCCTCAATAAAGAAACCCGTGTGTCTTATTCATCAACACGGCACAGCCCACTTCACAATAACTGACCTAGTTAAACACTTGACACTGTATACTTCATAATAACATTGACAGAACATACACCTAGTATTGAACATTACATAATAACTTTGACCGGCACAATACTTGGTATTAATAGTGTATACTTCACATTAACTTGACCCAGCACACACCTGGTTCTCGTACAAGTTACCCCCTCAAGGAAGGTTCCTTGATGTTGGTGAGGGGCTCTTGATTTAGGGAATTGGATCTGTGCTCCAGTTCCCCGAATTAAGCCTGAATGCCTTCCACATCCCCCCCCCCCAGGCGCTGTATAATCCTCCGGGTTTAGCGCTTCCCCCTTGATTATAATAATAATAATAATAATCGTACAAGTTACAATAACGTTGACCCAACTTACACCTGGTTTTGTAAACCTCACAAAAATACAGACATAGCAAACACCAGTTGTAGGACGTTTTAATTAACCATAAAAATAAATTTTAAACTTAATTATTTGGTTTTAAAGTTATGAAGACACACGGGTCGTTCCAACTGGTTCTCCTACGTGCGGGTTGTGTCAAGATATATATTTAGAAAAATATGTGCCTTTTAGTGTATATAGTACAGCACGAGTGGAAACATTGGGCAAGTTTTCTTACAACTGTTGCCACTCTTCACCTTCAGAGAGGAAGTAGGTTCTCCGGTGTTAATACCTCTCTAGGATAATAATTAAAATAAAATCTACACAGATACAAATCTCTAGGTATATATACACAGATATAAATCTCTTGATGTATTTGCAGTATATAAAGATGACTAGAAAATGAGACGATACATATACCAGTAATATATAACAAATTAATATATAACAATGATGGGAGTTGAATGTGAGTTGATCTTGACATCAGCTCAGCTCGGGACTGCTCAACACTGGCCCAAGCATCCCCGACCCGCACGCAGATGACTCAACACGATTCTGGATGACACTTTAATGGCTGACGAAGCTATGGAAAAAGCAACAAAATGTTTATTTTATTAGGTTATGTTTTGCAAATAATCATAAATGTTATAGGGCACGAGATTTTTTTTTATTGTGGAATATCGTAGTACAATACAATGCTGAGGCACTTACCATTTCGTAAACTTCAAATGAACTGAGCTCGCGGGAGTTACTTATACTTCCTTCTTGTGAGTCTTGTAAGCCGTTTCCGTCAGCAGCTGTTGTCGGCTGGTGGGATCTGGGGAGGAGGTAGTATTTTCTGAAGGGTAATGGAGTAGGGTGTTGTGACGTAGGTTGCTGGAGGTAGTATGTGGAGGGTGAACGAGTGTTTGGTGGTGCAACAGGGTAGGATGTGGGATGGCGAAACACAGTAGGAGGGAAGTATGGAGAAAATGCTGAAGTGTGTATATCATGGGGGTTGTTTGTGGTGTCTAATGTTGCAGGAGGTTCAGGTGTTGCGGCTGGTTCAGCTGTGTCGTGTGACGAAGGTAGTGGGTCGTTGGTGCCCAGTACTTGTATAAGATGAATCGAATCTTCAACATCACTGAAGACGACGCGAGGTTGGTCCTTATTTGCAGTCATCGCCTTCGTGTCAGCTTGGAGAAAGTACTTGCGGAGGTGTTTGTTGGCGTAGCCTGAATCCCTGGGTAATTCTTGCATCACACCCGTTAGGTAGTACTTGCGGGGTCGCCCAGGCTGCGGGCTCGAGTTGAAGTTCCTGGACAGGTTGTCACCCAGGGAAGGTCGGTGGGGAGCACCTGCGTGTGAGAGAGCTGCAGCCCCAACATTGTAATCCCCCACCGTCTTCAGCACAAGAGCGGGAGACTGCTCAAAGTTATAGTCGAACATCCTGGAGCCGGAAGTGTAACCCTCCTTGATGATTTCCAGAGGATCTTTTTGAGGTAGCCAGGACTTCTCCTCTGATGTCAATGACTCCTTCACTAGTAATGGGGATTCCCACGAAGCGTAAGGCAGAGTCTGATCCTGACGGCGACGCGGACGCTCCAGCGGAGAATTAGATCTGCTCCATGATGAAGCCCAGCCTTGAGGCGCCAACGACTCCTGTACGTCTTGGTCCTCTTCAGTCACGCCCAGAACACACACCCATCCTGAATAATGATAAACCAACATGAATACTTCATAACGGAAATAACATATAGTGAGCTGTGGGTGTAAAGCAAGACTTAGGTATGGAATGATTAAAAAAAATGGCTATAGTCAAGAGTCAAACCAATTTTACAAACTAAGTGCTATTGTCCTACCTCAGCTCATTTCAAAGCTCAGCTCTATCCAAGGAATATATATATATATTATGATCCCCTTGGATGCGACCCACATCAGTAGACTAGCACCCAAGTGCCTACTTGCTGCTTGGTGAACAAAGGCAGGAGTTTCCACCTGTGCCGGGATCGAACCATGGACACTCAGTGAGTTGAGTCCGAGTGCCTCCGGGGGTGAAGATCATTTGCGATGAACCAAATTGTGAGTTCATTACCTTTGTAAATTGTGAGTTCATTACCTCTGTAACTTGCTCAGCTATCAAAACTTTGGAGTCCAGTCCCTGGACCAATTATGTACCTCTGTAATCTTTTGACTACCGCCCACAGGATGGGTATGGGGTGCATAATAAACATATTAAACTAACTAACTGAACCAATTAATCACTGCATTCTTACTGAGATCATAGCTGAGTATATTTTTTACACGCACAAACACGTATTATGACAGAATCAACACCACTTTCCTTCCTGCCACAAGCGGTCCAGCAGCTGGATAATAATACTGTCACTATGATGTACAAATGTTACCTCACTGGCTGCTCTTCCTGATAGCTATGGCAAGACACAGGAACAGTGGCGGGTAATATTTCCTTTGACAAGCAACCACAAAAGTAGCAACTTTCATGTTATTAAGTAAGACATGTAATATATAAAATCACGCCATTTATCAGGCTGTCTCAATGTTTTCTCCAGGACTCTTGCATTACTCTGCTTCACTGTATCATTTAGAGCTAGATCGGTCTACAAGATCAAAACTTTTATGAGATAACTAACAACGATTAACGGATGGAGGATTGAGCCTCCACCATCCCTTACTCTAGATAAAGTAAAGAATTTTTAGATATGGTTCGATGACTGTGCGGTCCTGGAAAGGTATCTCCATATTGGATAAGCAGGTATAAAAGGAATGGTACAGAGTGCTACATAAGTTTCTAATGTTAAATATCAACACTGAAGATATGAAGCCAATGAGAAGAGGTATGCACAAGTTATATAGAAACTAATGCACTCTTTCAATGAAACTGACAAACAAGGGCACCTGCACAGCCCAAAACTAATTCGAACCTTCCACTAAGTTTAAAGCCAATTAAACGAGGCATTCTCTGGTTATCGCACATAGACAAATATCCCAAAGTAGACCACCATTTTAAGTCCGAAGCCTCTCAGAATTTGTCTTCTTAAGTTATCAGTGTTGAAGATTTGAAGCTGATATGATTAGGCATTCATAAATTATCACAGAAAAACAATATACTACATTTTCCCTAAATTAGAAAGTTGGCACCTACACAATCCAAAATCTTTTAAAATCTTTCTTAAATTTAAGAATCAAGGCCAATCAAAAGTCATTCTACAATAATGGAAAGGAAAAAAAATCCTTTAATAAAACTGGCAAATTAAGACTTGCAGAATTAAAAAAAAAAATCACTCCAGCACTAAAGATCAGAAAAGGCATTCTTAATTTATTACATATAATCTAACATGCACACATTTATTAACCTCGTTGACAAATTTGCCTCTTTATATTTAGATGCGTGTGGCATTAAAAATTGAATCCATTCAGAAGAAATATACCCAAGTTATTTTATGGAAAATAATACCATTCCATTTTAAAAAAAAATTGGAAAATTCACAACTACACATTCCAATAATAATCCTAACTTTCTAATAAGTAATGTTAACCAGTGTTGAAAGTTTGACGCTGATCAGAAGCTTTCTCTTGGTAGCACACGAATCCCATAATCTAGAATGGTCTGTATAACTTTACCAACTATTGGGTGAACTTCTTAGTTACATTTATTTTTTTTTTATTTCATTCAGGTTAAGCGCTAAACCCGTATGGGTCATTCAATGCCAGACCTGGTGGAGGTTGATCCTCCGTCTGCTGAGCGCAAGACAGATGAGATTTCTATCAGCTTGACTCACGAAATCGTAATAACTCGATTGCCAGCAAACCACGGTATGGGTGGGGTTAGAACCCATGGTGAGTCGTTCGACTCCAGGCCAGTGTGTAAGTCACTGAGTCAGCTGGCTCAGTGGCCTACGCATTGGCCTGGAGTTTTACGACTCACTTGCATGGGTTCTAAACCCACCTGTACCGTGATTTTTCTATCAGCTTTTCAGATGAGACGCTTTCAAGATATAAATGAAAACCTTGGAAGAAGAAAACACTAATTAGCCAGTTAAAGGTATTCTCCAGGGAGTCTTAAAAAAATCACAGTATAGTGGTTGTAACAATTTGGAAAAGAAACTAGACCACATTTCCATCCGTTCTTGAAAATTATCAAGTTGCGACTTGATAATGGTCCAGATCAGACCGAAACGTAGTCAAAAGTTTCCTTTCCAAATTGTTATAGTTGTGAATGGAGACAGCGTGGCTGACGAGATGGTTATGAAGAAATAGGCATATAACACCCTATGGTGCTAATGGTTGTTATATAATAGTAGGATCTTGCAAATTAGTGACTAAAGAGTGAAAGTTGATGAACAAAGTGGTGAAATAAACATGTCTCGGTAACAGATGACGCGCAGTTTGAAAGTATGAGCAACTCATTACACTTATTGTGTCCTTCAGCTGATGTTAACAACATAGCTGCAATGTTTACTGTGAGTTCCTACTGAGGTTAAGATTTATTTCAAATAGGTATCCCGAAGGGGTACAGTTAGGTTAAGTTACACTAGATTAGGGTTTTAATATATCTTAGGTAGAACTAGGCTTTCACGTGAGCTGAGGTAAGATAGCAACTCTGTCTTTAAATTCAACTGTGTAAATAAATAAAAAGAGATGTTTCTTGTTTTCTGGGGAAGCTCACACCTTGATCCACCACCAGCCCACCACTGCCGTATTTTTTCTTGCCCATTACCTGCACTTTCTCCAGCACCTTAATCACCCAGTACCACAAAACTCACTATCACTACCCCTCTTCCCCACTCGTTAAACCTCAGCCTTTACCACTGCGACCACTACTACCCTTCACCACTACGACCACCACTACCTGTCACCACCTGTATGACCACCACAAACCTATCAGTACAATACAAATACCTTCAACCTATTCACCTCCTCCAGTTCAACTCATCATTATTTCTCATTCAATCATTGACTCCATAATCCCTCCTTCTCTACTTCTTACTCAAGTATCTCGTCCTCCTTAATAAATCAGCAAGATAAGCTGTAAGATTCGTCTGACAAGTGGCTATTAGAAATTAACATCACTTCGTGGAAAGGTGAATAAGACTGGAGAGCACAGGATTGCGGGACAAAGGCTGCAAACCTTCCTCAAGGACAAGGACCTCGAGATGAGCATAGCTCCAAGCATGCTGCCTGAGGCACATGTCAACCGAATAATCTCCCAGCAAATGCTCATCTAGCAAATACAAGGTTACTTCTTAGGAACCTCAACAAAGAATCATTCACAACACTATATACGACTTATGCCAGACCATTATGGAACCCATACATAGTAAAACGCGTGAAGCTAGAAAAAGTGAGGTCTGCAAAGACTAGTCCTAGAGGTAAAAGTTATAAGGTAAGGAGTGACTAAAGGAGATAAACCTGGTGACATTAGAGGACAGAAGAACCAGGGGTGATATGATAACGTACAAAATACTGAGAGGAGTTGATAGGATGGACAGGGGCAAATTTCTCGAGAGGTGGAATAAGGTACACGAGGGCATAGATGGGAGCTTAAAAAAAGTCACAGGGATATTAGAAAATACTTCTTTAGTCTTCGAGCGGTCAGGAAGTGGAACGCACCCTAGAGAGCGAAGTGGAAGCTGCGCGAGTCATACATAATGTTAAGAATAGGTATGATAGGGCGCACGCAGCCAGGAGACCCTAGCAGCCAGCGAAGAGGGGCATTGAGCTTAGACTTAGTCCTGCAACCACATTAAGTGAATATAGGAGAGCACACCAATCACCTTCATCTCTTTCATAGAAGTACCTGATTGTCCACTGTTATTATTGTTTATTATTATTAAATTATATCCATGGGAGGCTCAAAACACGTTAAGGTCCTACATCGCCTCAGAAATTGGGGATAATCAAGTTATTTCGAGGAAGTGGGGTTAGCTCAAATTCCTTGAATCAAGAGGCCTTCACGAGCATCAAGGCACCCCGACTGAAGGGAGTTCGACCCCTGACAACCATGATGCAATATTAATATCCACATTACACCCACTCACTGGCTTCCTTCCTCGCACCTAACTGTGGTACTACAGCCGCCCCTCAACCTCATCCCTCGACTCTTGTACCTCCAGGTCTAATCGAAAATAGAGACAAAACTAACCGGAACGATGATAAGTGTTATCTTCTCAAGAGTTTACCAGATAATGAAAAGAGAGAGTGAAGGAAGAAGGGAAGATACTACCATGGAACTACTCAGCACGCATACTGAGTGTCGGTGGTTTGATCCCCGGCCGGGTAGAAACGTTGGGCATGTTTCTTTTTAAACCTGCTTGCTCTGCTCACCTAGCAGTAAGTAGGTACCTGGGTGTTAGTCGACTGTTGTGGGTCGCATCCTGGAGAAGGGGGAGGGAAAGTAATATACCTTTGACAAGGCTGGGCTTTTAAATGAGCTGATGGAGGATAACAGTTCTTAGCTTGTAAAAACTGATCAGCGTAAAAAAAAAATGCTAATCCCCAACCAGGAGGACTTCATGGACTACACACCTGCAACAGTATTTGGTGGATATGTTCACTGAAGCATATTAAGCATATTAAAACATGTAGAGATATACTCCTTGAAGCACATAAAGCAGCATTGCAATAAGGCGCCGTAGGAGAATGAAGACAGTGTACTACCACATTTCATAGAATGTCAGCAATGTACGCCAGATTACCCAAAGTAAGAACCTGAATAAATAATATTTACATTGGCCGAGACCTCACATTCATAAGCCATAATAATTATGATTTTAAAATACTCCAGAGCATAGACAGGGTAGATAAGAATAGATTTTATACACGAGGCACTAGAAGCATATGACTGACAATTTAATAGCTCCTGGAGCTTGATTTCAATACTCACCCAGGTATGATGATGATCAATCATTGGTCAGCTTCTCCAAAGAAATTAATATTAATCTATTTATTTTAGATGGTTTAAATCACGTTACTTTGTTTTAATTTTTCATACATATTATCACAAGATTAACATGAAAGAACAGCTTTGCTTACGTCAGTGCCAGAGTATACAACCTTGTTTCTGTTGAATGATACACTTGTGCAACATTTGGGAAACTTTATTGAGGAAACAATTCGCCAGCCAGTGGTTTCTTCAGTCCAATACTGAGAATAACAGAGGAAGATGAGGAGAATGAGGTAATCAGTCCTTCAGCCTGTATTCGATGTAATCAGTCCATCATCCTTGAGAAATGTACATTTCTCAAGAATTATGGTCTGAAAACGTCGACTTCAGGGTAGGGGACTGATTACCTCATTCTCCTCTGTTATTCTCAGTAATGGGCTGAAGAAACCACTGGTTGGCGAATCGTTTCCTTAATCAAGATTCTCAAATGTCTTATTCTTCACAAGTCTTTCATGCTTCTACTCTGGCATCCCGATCTGGGGTCAGAGTTCTTTGGTGACCACCTGCTCAATGAGACTATTGGTGCTTGCCTCCTGAAATCCCACATAGACAGTCTGGATCAAAGAATCCTAAAAGATAAGAGTGTATCAAGGAAATTTGTTCTAAGGTTACTAACTCCAAGAATGATGATAAAAGCTCCACTTACCCAGTGTAAGATACAGCAACAAGAGTCGCAACATCTCATCCCCTTACCGTCCCTCGTAACACTGGCAGTGAATGGTTCTGCAGATTCCTTATAATTCTCTCTCTCTCTCTATCTCTCTCTCTCTCTCTCTCTCTCTCTCTCTCTCTCTCTCTCTCTCTCTCTCTCTCTCTCTCTCTCTCTCTCTCTCTCTCTCTCTCTCTCTCTCTCTCGCCGGCGGTTGCAGCTCAATAGCAAGTCACAGCGTGTTGCATGAAATCACTGAAATTACAATGTACTTATTGTTAAAGTAATTAAGTCTTAAATAAATTTTGTGGTAAACTATTCCCATTAGAGGCATATACAGTAATAGGTACAGGAATTGATTTTTTTTTTCACACTAACCGATATTATGATATTTGTCTTTTACGGTAATTATTAATCGGATATTTGAGACATTCTCGAAAATCCTCAAGGTAACCTGGAGTTTACCTGGAGAGAGTTCCGGGGGTCAACGCCCCCGCGGCCCGGTCTGTGACCAGGCCTCCTGGTGGATCAGCGCCTGATCAACCAGGCTGATCCGGAACTGACTTTAGGTGCTTGTCCAGTGCCAGCTTGAAGACTGCCAGGGGTCTGTTGGTAATCCCCCTTATGTGTGCTGGGAGGCAGTTGAACAGTCTTGGGCCCCTGACACTTATCGTATGGTCTCTTAACGTGCTAGTGACACCCCTGCTTTTCATTGGGGGGATGGTGCATCGTCTGCCAAGTCTTTTGCTTTCGTAGTGAGTGATTTTCGTGTGCAAGTTCGGTACTAGTCCCTCTAGGATTTTCCAGGTGTATATAATTATCTCTCCCTCCTGCGTTCCAGGGAATACAGGTTTAGGAACCTCAAGCGCTCCCAATAATTGAGGTGTTTTATCTCCGTTATGCGCGCCGTGAAAGTTCTCTGTACATTTTCTAGGTCGGCAATTTCACCTGCCTTGAAAGGTGCTGTTAGTGTGCAGCAATATTCCAGCCTAGATAGAACAAGTGACCTGAAGAGTGTCATCATGGGCTTGGCCTCCCTAGTTTTGAAGGTTCTCATTATCCATCCTGTCATTTTTCTAGCAGATGCGATTGATACAATGTTATGGTCCTTGAAGGTGAGATCCTCCGACATGATCACTCCCAGGTCTTTGACGTTGGTGTTTCGCTCTATTTTGTGGCCAGAATTTGTTTTGTACTCTGATGAAGATTTAATTTCCTCATGTTTACCATATCTGAGTAATTGAAATTTCTCATCGTTGAACTTCATATTGTTTTCTGCAGCCCACTGAAAGATTTGGTTGATGTCCGCCTGGAGCTTTGCAGTGTCACAAATGGAAGACACTGTCATGCAGATTCGGGTGTCATCTGCAAAGGAAGACACGGTGCTGTGGCTGACATCCTTGTCTATGTCGGATATGAGGATGAGGAACAAGATGGGAGCGAGTACTGTGCCTTGTGGAACAGAGCTTTTCACCGTAGCTGCCTCGGACTTTACTCTGTTGACGACTACTCTCTGTGTTCTGTTAGTGAGGAAATTATAGATCCATCGACCGACTTTTCCTGTTATTCCTTTAGCACGCATTTTGTGCGCTATTACGCCATGGTCACACTTGTCGAAGGCTTTTGCAAAGTCTGTATATATTACATCTGCATTCTTTTTGTCTTCTAGTGCATTTAGGACCTTGTCGTAGTGATCCAATAGTTGAGACAGACAGGAGCGACCTGTTCTAAACCCATGTTGCCCTGGGTTGTGTAACTGATGGGTTTCTAGATGGGTGGTGATCTTGCTTCTTAGGACCCTTTCAAAGATTTTTATGATATGGGATGTTAGTGCTATTGGTCTGTAGTTCTTTGCTGTTGCTTTACTGCCCCCTTTGTGGAGTGGGCTATATCTGTTGTTTTTAGTAACTGTGGGACGACCCCCGTGTCCATGCTCCCTCTCCATAGGATGGAAAAGGCTCGTGATAGAGGCTTCGTGCAGTTCTTGATGAACACAGAGTTCCATGAGTCAGGCCCTGGGGCAGAGTGCATGGGCATGTCATTTATCGCCTGTTCGAAGTCATTTGGCGTCAGGATAACATCGGATAGGCTTGTGTTAATCAAATTTTGTGGCTCTCTCATAAAAAATTCATTTTGATCTTCGACTCTCAGTCTGGTTAGCGGCTTGCTAAAAACTGAGTCATATTGGGACTTGAGTAGCTCACTCATTTCCTTGCTGTCATCTGTGTAGGACCCATCTTGTTTAAGTAGGGGCCCAATACTGGACGTTGTTCTCGATTTTGATTTGGCATAGGAGAAGAAATACTTTGGGTTTCTTTCGATTTCATTTATGGCTTTTAGTTCTTCCCGCGATTCCTGACTCCTAAAGGATTCTTTTAGCTTAAGTTCGATGCTTGCTATTTCTCTGACCAGTGTCTCCCTACGCATTTCAGATATATTGACCTCTTTTAGCCGCTCTGTTATTCTTTTCCGTCGCCTGTAAAGGGAGCGCCTGTCTCTTTCTGTTTTACATCTACTCCTCCTTTTTCTTAGAGGAATAAGCCTTGTGCATACATCGAGTGCCACCGAGTTAATCTGTTCTAGGCATAAGTTGGGGTCTGTGTTGCTTAGTATATCTTCCCAGCTTATATCGGTTAGGACTTGGTTTACTTGGTCCCACTTTATGTTTTTGTTATTGAAGTTGAATTTGGTGAATGCTCCCTCGTGACTAATCTCATTATGTCGGTCTGGGGCTCCGCGCATACATGACTGAACCTCAATTATGTTGTGATCTGAGAATATTGTTTTTGATATGGTGACATTTCTTATCAGATCATCATTGTTAGTGAAGATGAGGTCTAGTGTATTCTCCAGTCTAGTAGGCTCTATTATTTGCTGGTTTAAATTGAATTTTGTGCAGAGATTTAAAAGCTCGCGTGAGTGTGAGTTTTCATCAGAGCTGCCTCCTGGTGTTATTACTGCAACAATATTATTTGCTATATTCCTCCATTTTAGGTGCCTTAAGTTGAAATCCCCCAGGAGCAAGATGTTGGGTGCAGGAGCTGGAAGGTTTTCCAGACAGTGGTCAATTTTTAACAGCTGTTCCTGGAATTTCTGGGATGTTGCATCCGGAGGCTTGTAGACTACCACAATGACTAGGTTTTGGTTCTCGACCTTTACTGCTAAAACTTCCACTACATCATTTGAGGCATTTAGCAGTTCTGTGCAAACAAGTGACTCTGCAATGTACAGGCCACCCCCCCCCATTTTGCCTGTTCACTCTGTCACATCTGTATAGGTTGTAACCTGGGATCCATATTTCGTTGTCCAAGTGATCCTTTATGTGGGTCTCAGTGAAAGCCGCGAACATTGCCTTTGCCTCTGCAAGCAGTCCACGGATGAAAGGTATTTTGTTGTTTGTTGCTGGCTTTAGACCCTGTATATTTGCAAAGAAGAATGTTATCGGACTGGTGGTATTGTTGGTACTGGGGGGGGGGGATTTTTTTTCCGGCATTAGTATCTGTAATTGTCCATCTGTAATTGTCCATTACTTGAATTATTTCACATAATTCGAGGTGTGAGAATAATTCTGACTAATTTGAAATATAATCCGATCATATGACTGGTGCAGATTTTCACGGATAATTTTAATATACTTGAAGTAGAGTGGTAGTAACATTTAAGATTCCTCTGATGTTTAGTTACCCTAAATAAAGTTACATATTCCATCACGGGTGAAACAGTTATGTGTTGCTCACCTAGCAGCAAGTAGGTACATATGTTGGTCTTATGGGTCGCAGTATGGGAGAGACGACTGAAGAACCCTGGTGGAAATAAGACAGTGCAGACACTTTTGTACAGTTCAGGTCATTTAATAGAGGAAATGTTTCGCCATTGGTGGCTTCTTAAGTCATTAGGAACGTTTCCCATAATACAATGGAAATAAGTCACTGTCTGACTTTTTTGGGTTATTCTAGGTAGCCTTCTAGCCTACTTTACACATATGCTGCTGTGTATAATAATATATGGAACTGTATTTGTGTATACCTGAATAAACTTACTTCCTGAACTGTACATAAGTGTTTTTCACTACATCCCCCCAATGAAAAGCAGGGGTGTCACTAGCACGTTAAGAGACCATACAATAAGTGTCAGGAGCCCAAGACTGTTCAACTGCCTCCCAGCATACATAAGGGGATTACCAACAGACCCCTGGCAGTCTTCAAGCTGGCACTGGACAAGTACCTAAAGTCGGTTCCTGACCAGCCAGGCTGTGGCTCGTACTCACCTATTTGTGGTCGTACGTTGGTTTGCGTGCAGCCAGCAGTAACAGCCTGATTGATCAGGCTCTGATCCACCAGGAGGCCTGGTCACAGACCGGGCCGCGGGGGCGTTGACCCCCGGAACTCTCTCCAGGTATCACCAGACCATTTTTCAAGATAGTCCACGATGACGCACGGACTTTACTGGGTTATCTTAGATGGATAATCCTCCAGGTTAAAAATCAGAACAGATTTTGATCTTAGCTTAAGGCAGTGAGGATCTGCAGGAAAGGAGATTGTGGAAAATACTGTATATATTTTCCGGAAATACGGTAATTTATAGGTAAATAGATGGCCTATACTGTATTTAATAATATTTGTCATAGAAAACGGAAAGCCTGCGTCTGCGCAGACGAGACTCGCCATCTTGGTTTTGAATTTTGTACAAACGTTGGTGTAATGGGAAGAATTTTTCGTGCTCTAGAGGTTAAAATTGTGTTGACACGTCTCAAATAGGAGGCGAAATTGTTGGATGTGCATTCCTGCATAACTTGAGATATCAGACGACTGGACAAGACAGCTCCAGGAACCTCAGATAAGCTCTCTAGATTTGTGTGTAATTCTGGCCAGCATTATTTTCATAGATTTAGTTAGAGTGAGGTTTTCTGACTATGATACACATTAATCTCCAGTCAAATTGGTGAGTGATATTAAGATATATTTTCCTTCTGTTATGTAATTGTGTATATATATAACCATTTATTATTTTTAATATACAGTCCACAAATTTATATATTTACCAGTATTCCTGGTGTATGTATGTTTCATTTAATTAATAGGTCCAGAACAACTTGTGGTTATGACAGTGGTAGGTATCGAAGGGGAACATTTTTGGCGACCTAGGTGTCCCAAATTCCTACTTGTCTATGTAACATTGATAAATAATAATTATCTTTGTTATCATTTACTGTTATGTACATAATTAGTTACATTCAGATAAATGCAATTTTCCACAGAGATACTTTGGTAAGGGTGACAGGCGGCGTTCCCTAAGGATCAGTGTGTGGACCCTGCTGTTCCTAATCCTAATGGCAGGATATGAGGAAGACCTACCTAGAATGGGCTAAAAGGTCTTCTGAAGTGTTGAATTCTTATGAACTACGGTTTTGGTTAAGTGCGGAGGGTGCTTAGTAAGTTTATTTAGGTGCAGGTACACATAACTACAATTATCATGTACAGTGTAAATTACCTATATAATAATAATATCTTTATTTACTACAAGTACATGTACATGGTATACAGACCATAGCTCACATCAGTGATATACTACTATCTAGAAAGCCGCTTGTTATGCTGAAAATTTCGGGCAAATTAGGTCAATTTTGTCCCAGGATGCGACCCACACCGGCCAACTAACATCCAGGTGCTCATTTTACTTATGGGTGAACATAGACAACCGGTGTAAAGAAACACGCCCAATGTTTCTACCCTCGCTGGGAATCGAACCCGGGTCTCACTGTGTGACTCGAGAGCTTTAGCCACCAGGCCACGGGGCACGGAGCGTGAACTAGTTGAATATTCAATTTTCTTGTATTCACTATAACTCACCTAATGACCATATGTACAATTACAATAATGTTATCGTCTTATTAATCTTAAATTATTCTTAATCAAGTCTTTGGTGTTGGAATTAGCACATTATCAGGAACTTACAATATTGCAGATAAAAGGAGGAATTCCAAGCAAATACGTTACAGAGGGAGCGTCTTTGCCTCGATTCAAGCCAAGATGATCCTCTGAACATATTTACTTGGAATTCCTCCTTTTTTTTCTGCAGCATTGCAAGCTTCTGATGATGTGTTGAGTGCAACACGAAAGGCCTAGAGCTATCATTCACTTCTCCCCTCCCTGTGGTTGTTCTGTATTTTGTATCACTTGTTCGCGATTATTGCATAATGGGCAACATATTTCCCCACCCCGTGACTGCCTGTAGTCAGTGTCAGGATCTTCATCATCCCCAACAAGACGCTGTACTCACCTAATTATACTTCTTGTGTCATGGCTACGAAACGTTTAGCTGAGTAAGTTTTGAACAAATGATTTAATGTGTGTGTCATTTAGGGAGTGCGGGTGCTGAGCTCTGCCGCTCATTTGTTAATAAGTTACTAATGTTCGATTTTTTTTTTAGTGTATTATCCTAGGTTAAATCTGCGCTATGATTTTCGTGCCATGTGTCCTCAAAACTACTGTTAAAAATATGGAATGCTGTGTTCCCGGACCCCTCAAGGAAGGTTCCTTGATGTTGGTGAGGGGCTCTTGATTTAGGGAATTGGATCTGTGCTCCAGTTCCCCGAATTAAGCCTGAATGCCTTACACATCCCCCCCCCCCCAGGCGCTGTATAATCCTCCGGGTTTAGCGCTTCCCCCTTGATTATAATAGTAATAATGTGTTCCCGGAATTTAAATAAAAACTTGGTTACCTTTGTAGGGTGATGGGAGGTGCAGTGATGCTGGCTAGAGGCTCTTGATCAAAGGAGATACCTTGATGCTGGTTAAAGGCTCTTCATATGTAATTTGATGCTGGTTAAAGGCTCTTGATATGTACTTTGATGCTTGTTAAAGGTTCTTGATCAAAGGTGCCTTGATTTGGTTAAAACCTCTCCATCACTGGAGGTGCCTTGATGCTGGTTAAAGGCTTTTGATCAAAGGATGTGCCTTGATGCTGGTTAGACTTGGTCAAAGGAGGTACCTTGATGCTGATTAAAGGCTCTTGATCAGAGGAAGTATCGTGAAAAGTAAGTTTATTTAGGGTACATTACATAATTTTAGATGATTACATAGTATTGCAGAGCAACATGTGTAAATTACCAAGGATAACCAAAAAGAACGATCGGAAGTGACGATTAAATTTGGGTCCTTAATGCTGGTTAAGGGCTTTCAATCAAAGGAATTAGAGTTACTCTTTCATAACTCGTATTAAACCCGATTACCTCCCATTTCCCTGGTGGTGTATGTGACTTCTACAAGTTTTGTGCTTCTTGAATAGATATATATAGATGGTGGAGGATCCTTAAACAGTCTCCTCAAATAATGATGATCATTTACTATGTCTTTGTATTTTAAGTGTTCACAATTATACTAATTTAGTTTACCCAATTGGTGTTTAAAAATTAGGCCAGTTAGGTAAGATATGGTATAAAATTCTGACAAATGTGAAATAGGACACATGAGCAGTACAGTATTAGAACATTTTCATGAGGAAATGTTTCACCTCGAATGGCTTCTTTTGCAGAACTAAAGCCACAGTAAGTTTATTCAGGTATACACAAATACAGTTACATAGAATTATCATACATATCAGCATATGTGTAGAGAACCTAGGATAACCCAAAAAAGTCAGAGTGACTTGTTTCCATTACAATATCCTAATGCTGCACCTGTGTTTTATTTCACATAGGCAAAATTACTTCCAAGACTAATTGATATGAACATTGCCCCCAAGTACATATATCCATTGATCAACAAGTGTTTTAAACATAAGTGGTATAAAATATAGACAAGTTGTACAAAAAAGATCTGCTGATTAGTTCTCTTAGTTTCTTATTACCTGGAGAGAGTTCCGGGGGTCAACGCCCCCGCGGCCCAGTCTGTGACCAGGCCTCCTGGTGGATCAGAGCCTGATCAACCAGGCTGTTACTGCTGGCTGCACGCAAACCAACGTACGAGCCACAGCCCGGCTGATCAGGAACCGACTTTAGGTGCTTGTCCAGTGCCAGCTTGAAGACTGCCAGGGGTCTGTTGGTAATCCCCCTTATGTATGCTTTGAGGCAGTTGAACAGTCTCGGGCCCCTGACACTTATTGTATGGTCTCTTAACGTGCTAGTGACACCCCTGCTTTTCATTGGGGGGATGGTGCATCGTCTGCCAAGTCTTTTGCTTTCGTAGTGAGTGATTTTCGTGTGCAGGTTCGGTACTAGTCCCTCTAGGATTTTCCAGGTGTATATAATCATGTATCTCTCCCGCCTGTGTGAGAAAGGGAAGGAAAACTGCTTAATCATAATTCAGCACATCTAAGTAATGTTATTACTGTACATACCTTTGCTATATTCATACATAAATCATAGAGGGTTATATAGCCAAAGGTCATTATATACTCCTTTCCTTGGAGAGTAATGTTAATATTTTATGTACTGTATAACAATCCTCATTACAGTAGTGTTGGTATACAATACTGACTATATGAGGAATTGGACACTTATGCAACATATGGGTATCTATATGAAGAGGTTTTTCCTAACCAGTGACTTGATCAGATTGGTACAGACATGATATATAAAGACAGTGGAAGATTAGGTAATCAGTCCCTCAGCTTGGGAGACAGTGTTCATTATCTTAGTCTTGATGAATCCCATAGGCAACTAGCAGCATGGAATTCATGAACACTAAGGTACTGAACACTGCCACTACACAACTGGCTGCTTGGGAGGCTGTGTACAGTACACAAAAGTGCTAAACTAGGCTTTCCATTGAAGCAGTATGTAGGGTCATTTTAGGTGCAGATGGATTTTTCCACTGTGCAATCAAGCCTGATATCACATAAAATGTTAGTTCCTGACACTTCATAGCATGAAGAACCCCAACAACTTCCACGATATCTCAACTTTTGGAGATAATTTCCATAATTATATATGTATTTAAAATGTGAAATGTCAATTTATGATATATGAGACTACAGTATATCAAAATTAATAATTCCATAAATTTTTCAGAGAGCTTGGTTTGGTACAAAAGAGGCAAGTAAAGAGAATGTCACAGTCTACAAGTAAAGTAAGTAAGTACCATCTGTAAATCATTTTATTTTAATTGAGTTTGTAATAAAATGTGATTGAATTCAGTACTATGTTGTATATTTTTATTTACAATTCTGTACAGTACAGGCAGGCCCAAGTTATATGGCAGGTTAGGTTCTGGGCTACTGCTGTAAAGCAAAAATCACTGCAAAGTGAAACATAGCCTTTTTTTACTTTCAAGTGCCTATAAAAGCTTGATAACATGTTTGCACTATCATATATTAAGTGAGCAATAGAGCTAGGCCTAAATAAATGCATATTCAGTACACACATTACTTACCATAAAATGTTTTCATCCTTAGCTTATAATGTCTTGCGAATATATTTATTGTAGGAAGTCTGAATAAATGAAGAATGGGTATATAATTGAAAACTGCTGTATTAACAAAACACCATAAAGTGTAGCACTGTAAAGCAGGGGCCCTCTTATACAGTGAACCTGCTGATTAATGGGCTAGTAGGGGGAGAGGGGGGGGATGCATAATACGTATTACTGATCATCCGAAACTTTTGAATTATGAAATTAATTTTTCATGGTAGTCAGGTTGTCTTCTAAACCAGCAGACTAAGTCTGCTGGTTACTTCTACCTTTGTGGGAAATGGTTGTGGTCAAAAAATGTGTAAAGGAGGTTTTGTGTGTGAGGGGCTTGGACTTCCAGCAAGCATGTGTAAGCATGTTAGATAGGAGCGAATGGAGACAAATGGTTTTTAGGACTTGACGTGCTGTTGGAGTGTGAGCAAGGTAACATTTACAAAGGGATTCAGGGAAACCAGCAGACCGGACTTGAGTCCTGGAGATGGGAAGTACAATATCTACCTACACTCTGAAGGAGGGGTGTTAATGTTACAGTTTTATAACTGTAGTGTAAGTGTGCCTCGGGCAAGACAGTGATGGAGTGTATGATGAAATTTTTTTTTTTTCTAGCCACCCTGCCTTGGTGGGAGATAGCCAATGTGTTAAGAAAATAAATAAAATATTATGGCCTTCTGTTTTATTACTAGTTTAAATTCTACCAGGACTCTGTTCACTGATGGAATAAGTAAGTTTATTTCAACACGATAAATCAAATTTCTTTCATTTTCAGACCAAAAATTTGAGTACTTGATTGTGTTAGACTTTGAATCAACATGCTGGGATACTTGGCCTCCAGCTGGACAAAATGAGATCATTGAATTTCCAGCTGTGCTTCTTGACCTCTCATCTGGAAATACTCTTTCTGAGTTTCATGAATACGTAAAGCCTACAGAACAATCAATACTCTCTTCATTTTGCAAAAATCTCACAGGTTAGTTAAAAACAAACATAAATATTATAACTATAGACTGCTTTGCTGTAGATGAGGAAAAGGTTGTGATGATTTATTTTAAACATTTTTAACAAGTTATAATCTTTAAAGTTTCATTAAGACTACCATGCTAACTTTGTGGAATTGATAGTCTTACAAAAGTTATATTTTTGCATGTCTTAACTATATACAGTATTTTATTACAAATTTACTTTTAAATAATGAGCAGAATTAAAAAAATATCGAGTCATAATGAATAATAGTATTGTACAGTAAACCCTCCCATAATACTGAGTTACAGTATAATTTGTATACAGCATAATTTGTATACAATTGTACTGTTAAGGTGTCCTGTAGCTCGATTGCTAGTGCATTCTGCTCATACTCTTGGGGTCCAGGGGTCAGTCCCCAGTACTGGTGGAAACATTAGAAAATGTTTCCTTAAGACACCTGCTGTCCATGTTCACCTATCAGTAAATTAGGTAGCTGGGTGTTAGTTGACTGGTGTGGATTCCATCCTGGGACAAAATTTATCTAATTTCTTGAAATGTTTTGCATAACAAGGGGCTTTCTATATAGTAGTATGCCATTGATGTCAGCTAGGCCTGTACACCTTGTACATGTACATGTAGAAATAAGGATTATTTTTATTACTCTTACTACCTTTTACTACAGTTACTATTATAAAAGTGTGTTATTTGACAGGGATAACTCAGGAACAAGTTGATGCTGGAATTCCACTGGGAGCTTGTCTGTGTTTGTTTTCGACATGGATTCAGAAGTTGTGTGAGCAGTACCAGATGTCTTTTAACATCAGTGTCCCTGGGAAACATGTCACGTTTGCTACTTGGTCTGGTACGATTATGACAGTGACGATGCATAGTAGTAGTAGTGGTGTGTTAATAAGAAGTACTAAATCCATAATGGTCACACATCACCTGGGGAATGGTAGGTAATCAGGCTTGACCCAAGGAAGGGAAGTTAGCTCTAATTCCTTGGATGAAGACAAAAAAAAGAAAGTTTTAACTCCATTTCCTTGTATCAAGAACCTTCACCATTATCAAAGCACTCACCTTGCAGGGGTAATGATGCATAGTTTTTATGAGACTAAGTAACTTTTATTGATATTCAGTAGACAGTTTTATTTTTTATGATTGTCATTATATAGTAATCCATGTGTATACACAAATAACCTGCACATAGAAAAATGAAACTTATGATGACATTTTGGTCTAAATTGGACAGTTAATGAATCTCACTGTGGTCCAAGTCAGATCAAAATGTCATCATAAGTTTCATTCTCCTGTCTGGATTATTTGTGTTGTTCCACTCATGGTATTGTGCCTTTTTTTTTATTATTGAACCTATGTTTGCACAGAACTGCTAAATGCCTCAAATGATGTAGTGGAAGTTTTAGCAGTAAAGGTCGAGAACCAAAACCTAGTCATTGTGATAGTCTACAAGCCTCCGGATGCAACATCCCAGCAATTCCAGGAACAGCTGTTAAAAATTGACCACTGTCTGGAAAACCTTCCAGCTCCTGCACCCAACATCTTGCTCCTGGGGGATTTCAACTTAAGGCACCTAAAATGGAGGAATATAGCAAATAATATTGTTGCAGTAATAACACCAGGAGGCAGCTCTGATGAAAACTCACACTCACGCGAGCTTTTAAATCTCTGCACAAAATTTAGCAAATAATGAGCCTACTAGACTGGAGAATACACTAGACCTCATCTTCACTAACAATGATGATTGATAAGAAATATCACCATATCAAAAACAATATACTCAGATCACAACAATTGAGGTTCAGTCATGTATGCGCGGAGCCCCAGACCGACATAATGAGATTAGTCACGAGGGAGCATTCACCAAATTCAACTTCAATAACAAAAACATAAAGTGGGACCAAGTAAACCAAGTCCCAACCGAATAAGCTGGAAGATATACTAAGCAACACAGACCCCCAAATTATGCCTAAACAAATTAACTCGGTAGCACTCGATGTATGCACAAGGCTTATTCCTCTAAGAAAAAAGGAGGGGTAGATGTAAAACTGAAAGAGACAGGCGCTCCCTTTACAGGCGACGGAAAAGAATAACAGAGCGGCTAAAAGAGGTCAATATATCTGAAATGCTTTAGGGAGACACTGGTCAGAGAAATAGCAAGCATCGAACTTAAGCTAAAAGAATCCTTTAGGGTCAGGAATCGCGGGAAGAACTAAAACCATAAATGAAATCGAAAGAAACCCAAAGTATTTCTTCTCCTATGCCAAATCAAAATCGAGAAACAAGGGTCCAGTATTGGGCCCCTACTTAAACAAGATGGGTCCTACACAGATGACAACAAGGGAAAATTTAAAGTGAGCTACTCAAGTCCCAATATGACTCAGTTTTTAGCAAGCCGCTAACCAGACTGAGAGTCGAAGATCAAAATGAATTTTTTTATGAGAGAGCCACAAAATTTGTTTAAAACACAAGCCTATCCGATGTTATCCTGACGCCAATGACTTCGAACAGGCGATAAATGACTTTGCCCATGCACTCTGCCCCAGGGCCAGACTCATGGAACTCTGTGTTCATCAAGAACTGCAAGAAGCCCCTATCACGAGCCTTTTCCATCCTTGGAGAGGGAGCAGGGGACACGGGGGTCGTCCCACAGTTACTAAAAACAACAGACATAGCCCCACTCCACAAAGGGGGCAGTAAAGCAACAGCAAAAAAACTACAGACCAATAGCACTAACATCCCCTATCATAAAAATCTTTGAAAGGGTCCTAAGAAGCAAGATCACCACGCAAACTAGAAACCCATCAGTTACACAACCCAGGGGGAACATGGGTTTTGAACAGGTCGCTCCTGTCTGTCTCAACTATTGGACCACTACGACAAGGTCCTTTAAAAGCACTAGAAGACAAAAAGAATGCGATGTAATATATACAGACTTTGCAAAAGCCTTCGACAAGTGTGGGCCATGGCGTAATAGCGCACAAAATGCGTGCTAAAGGAATAACAGGAAAAATGGGTCGATGGATCTATAATTTCCTCACTAACAGAACACAGAAGAGTAGTCGTCAACAGAGTAAAGTCCGAGGCAGCTACGGTGAAAAGCTCTGTTCCACAAGGCACAGTACTCGCTCCCATCTGTTCCTCATCCTTATATCCGACATAGACAAGGATGTCAGCCACAGCACCGTGTCTTCCTTTGCAGATGACACCCGAATCTGCATGACAGTGTCTTCCATTGCAGACACTGCAAAGCTCCAGGCAGACATCAACCAAATCTTTCAGTGGGCTGCAGAAAACAATATGAAGTTCAAAAGATGAGAAATTTTTAATTACTCAGATATGGTATACATGAGGAAATTAAAATTTTCCCTCGGGATTTCAAAAAAAATTTTTGGCCAAAAAAATAGAGGAAACCCCCAACGCCCAAAAGACCTGGGGTGATCATGTCGGGAGGATCTCACCTTAAAGGGAAACCATAACATTGTTTTCAATGCATTTGCTAAAAAAATGGACGGATGGATAATTAACCTTAAAAAACTAGGGAGGCCAACCCCTTTGAGACATCTTAGGTCACTTGTTTTTTCTAGGGGAAATATTGCTGCACACTAACACCCACCTTTCAAGGCGGGGAAAAATTCCCCGCCCTGGAAAATGTACGAAAAACTTTCACGGCGCCCCTTAACGGAGTTTAAAACATTCAATTTTTGGGGGAGCGTTTGGGAGGTTCCTAAACCTGTATTCCCTGGAACGCAGGAGGGGGGGAGATACTGATTATATACCCCTGGAAAATCCTAGGGGGAAACTAGTACCAAACCCTTGCACAGGGAAAAATCACCCACTACGAAAGAAAAAAAGATTTTTGGCAGACGAGGGACCATCCCCCAGTGAAAAGCAGGGGTTCACAGCACTTTTTAAGGGGCCCATAAAAATAAGTGTCAGGGGCCCGGGGACTGTTCAACTGCCTCCCACCCACAAATAAGGGGGAATTACAACAAAACCCGGGGCAGTCTTAAACTGGCACTGGCCCAAGCACCTAAAGTCGTTCCGGATCCCCGGGGCCCTGTGGCTCGTATTTTGGGTTTTGCGTGCGGGCCAGCAAAAAACACCCCTGGTTGATAAAGGCTCTGTCCACCAGGGGGGGGGGGGGCTGGTCTCAGACCGGGCCGGGGGGGCCCGTTGCCCCCGGAACTCCCCTCCAGGTAAACCCCGGAAAATGGCTTGCCCTTTGCAATTTGAGTGAAAAACCCAAAAAAGCCTTTTAATTGTTTTAAAGGGGGGGGTAGGATTGCTGGTGCCCTTTTTTTTCTGTCTCATAAAACATGCAAAAATTTCGGGGACGTCTTGTTACTTCAAATTTACACTTAGGTCAAAATACACTTTTTTTTTTTTTTTTTCAACAAGTGGGCCCGTCTCCCACCGAGGCAGGGTGACTTTCCACATACTTTTACAATCATATATATACCCCACACCCCTTGGGTTTTTTTTGCTTTTTTTCTTTCTAGTTTTTGTTCTAGTTTATTTCCCCTTACCTCCTGGGGGGGAAATGGAACAGGGGAATTTTTTTCCCCCGTAAGCCCGCGTGTTTTTAAGAGGCGACTAAAATGCCCGGAGAAGGGGGTAAATAACCCCCTTTTTCCCGTATAAAATTTTCTAAATTTAAAAAAGAAACTCTTTTTTTTCTTTTGGGGGCCCCCTGGTCGGGGGGGATTTTCGGGGCCCGGGTTTGGTTTTAAAGAAGATTATTATTATTATAATTTTAAAAAAAAATAAAGCGCCCAAGCCAAAAAAGGGGTATTTCCGCACTGCGGGCAGGGAAGGGGGAAACGAGGGTATTTAGGTGGCAAAAGGGGGGGATGGGGAGGGAATGGTTTTTGGAGGGAAAAGCGAGGCAGTGGATGGTGAAAGGGGAGGGGCCGCAAGAGATTTAGGTAGAAAGGGTGGGGGGTGCAGAAGGTATCACATCAGAGTTTGGGGGAGTAAATCGTTTTTTGTCAAAAAAGTCAATGGGGGGGAGTTTAGGATTTTAAAAGGGGGGTCCAAACGCAAGAAGGAAAGGGAAAGAGAGGGGTAGTAGAGCGGAGGGGCGCGTTTTGGGGGTAAAAAACTTTCGTGCTCGTTGATTTTGGAGGGCAGTCTAAAAGAATGTGGTTTAACGATACTGGAACTTGACCCCTGCTCAGGGTGCCCTCCATGAGATACCCATGAGTAAGACCCGGAAATGTGGCCAAGGCGGAAAGGCCGGGAGGAGTAGTCTCCCAACCCCGGGGACTGATGGAAAAAAGAAAGGCCCGTTTTAAACCCATGCTCGGTTTAAAAAGGGAAAGAAGTTTGTTACCGAGTAAAAATTGACCAAAGGGTTTTTGCCCAAGGGGGGTGAAGGTGGGTAGCCATTACAGCAAAAAGTTTTGGGAAAAAGGAAAAAACCTCTATATGAAAAATTTGGTTTGGGCTGTAATGCTGGGCCCCCCCACAGCAGTGTCTGTTCCCGTTCATTGCCCTGTATGTCAACATGACCAGAGACCCAACAAAAAAAAAAAATTTTTTTATGCTTTGGGAGAGATACGGGTAGCCGAAGTTGGTTGGAGAATGGGGTTTAAGTGTATCAAACCTTTTATGGCCTGTAGGGGCACTAAGGGAGTCGGAGACAACCCCAAATTTTATGGGCACAGGCATAGGGTGTGATAGAATAAGTGCTGAAAAAAATGGTATACAAATTTAGTAAAAAAATGCTAGCCCCAAAAATAGTAAATGCCCCCCCGCAAAAACGCGTCCCGGAAAAACTGCTGCGAATCCGACCGTCAGAAGACTTGGGCCCTCTGTGTACACAGGGGATAGCATGAGAATGGGTGGAAAATGGTCAAAAAAAGAGAGCGGGAAGCCCCATAGGCAGTTGGGCTTTCGAGCAAAGGGAAATGGAAAAAAACAAAAGACCCCCAACAGCCCGGGTTTAAAGAAGAATT